GGGTTCAGGCAATTCTCCTGCCTCAGCCTCCTGAGTAGCTGGGATTACAGGCACACACCACCATGCCCAGCTAATTTTTTGTATTTTTAGTAGAGACAGGGTTTCACCATGCTGACCAGGATGGTCTCGATCTCTTGACCTTGTGATCCACCCGCCTCGGCCTCCCAAAGTGCTGGGATTACAGGCTTGAGCCACCGCGCCCGGCCTAAAAATTTTTAAATAATCTTTTTATTTTGGAATAACTTTAGGCTTACAGAAAAGTTGCAAAAGATAGTACAGAGTTCCAAGCTTCCCCTAATACTAGTACCTAATGCCTTTAAACACACACACACACACACACGCACCAGAAAACCAAAGAAACAAAAAACAAAACTCTAGAGCAGTTTTAGGTTCACAGCAAAATTGAGCAGAAAGTACCATTTCCCATATACCCATTGCCTCCCACATACAATTCTGTGTTGTTTGAGCTACTAAGTTTGTGGTTAATTTGTTACAGCAATTTAAAAAAAAAAAAAAAAGAAAAAACTAAACAATGACAAATGGCATTTTGGAGTAGAGGGAGAGAGAGGTAGATAATTTAGAGATGCACATATACATGGTAAAACACTAAAGAAAAAAAACATTAATCCAAAATTCAATCTAATTGTTACTTATAGTGCAGGGTACAGAACATACAGGTGTGACCTCCGCACCTCCAGAAACACAGTCCAGTAGCCTATAAGAAGCCTCTAAATGAACTAGAAAAAAGAATTATTTTCTAAGCAGATAATTAGAAAAATGATATATCCATTGGGTAGGAACCAGCCTTATGGGCCCTCGGTCTAGCAGCAGATAGTGTCTTTGTACCCAAGGAAAAAGCTCCATTCTTTAGGAGGCAAATTCGTCTCCCCTTGGCAAGGCATCTTTGTGCAGTGGCCAAATTTTACCTGCATGCTGGCAGACCCCCTAGGACCTTCAGAGCTTTTGTAATATCCTAGTTCTCAAGCCAAGTACAAGGTACATGGGGTTTGTTTTTCATAATTATTTTTCAAATTGTATATATGCATTACATCCTCTCTCATATATCAGAATTTTTTTAAAAGTATTTAGCAATGTGATGAAATTTATCACTGTACCCCATGCAGACCTTTGCCACTACCTCAGTGCCAGTCGCCTTCTGACTACAATCTAAAATTCAGAGAGAATTCTGAAGGATATTAGAGTGAAACTATTTTTTTTAGGCAGAGTCTCGCTCCTTCGCCCAGGCTAGAGTGCGGTGGCGAGATCTTGGCTCACTGCAACCTCCACCTCCCATGTTCAAGCGATTCACATGCTTCAGCCACCCAAATAGCTGGAATTACAGGCATATACCACCATGCCTAATTTTTGTATTTTTAGTAGAGACGGGGTTTCACTATGTTGGCCAGGCTGGTCTCAAACTCCTGGCCTTAAGTGATCCATCCACCTCGGCCTCCCAAAATGTTGGGATTACAGGTGTGAGCCACCGCACCCAGCTTTAGTGTTAAACATTTTTTTTTCTTTTTTTTTTTTTTGGAGACGGAGTCTTGCTCTGTTGCCAGGCTGGAGTGCAGTGGTGCAATCTCGGCTCATTGCAACCTCCGCCTCCTGGGTTCAAGCAATTCTTCCGCCTCAGCCTCCCGTAGCTGGGACCACAGGCGCGTGCCACAACGTCCGGCTAATTTTTGTATTTTTAGTAGAGACGGGGTTTCCTCATGTTGGCCAGGATGGTCTCGATCTCTTGACCTCGTGATCCACCCACCTCGGCCTCCCAAAGTGCTAGGATTACAGGCATGAGCCACTGCGCCCAGCCAAGAGTGATACATTTCTTAATTCCATGAAACCTCTTTTCATTTGGAGTAAATTACCCAAGAAAACAGGATTTTCCTTCTGTCAGCCTCCATTCCTATCTTCACTAAGTTTTGTCTATTTTCTCACTCAGATATTGTCCACAGTGGTGGGAGCTAAATGTGCAAACTACAGAGAAATTTGTGGGTACTTATAACCCGAGAAATCTTCCTAAAACCTAAAGAAAAATTTCATTATTAGGGACCCAGAATATCTGATAAAAATCTGACATGCTTGGCCAAGCACAGTGGCTCATGTCTGTAATCTCAGCACTTTGGGAGGCACACGTCAGGGGACTGCCTGAGACTAGGAGTTCAAGGTCAACTTGGGCATCAAAGTGAGCCCTTTTCTCTACAAAAATAATTTTTGTTTTTTTGAGGCAGAGTCTCACTCTGTCGCACAGGCTGGAATGGAGTTGCACAATCTCAGCCCACTGCAACCTCTGCCTCCTGGGTTCAAGCTATTCTCCTGCCTCAGCCTCCTGAGTAGCTGGGATTATAGGCGCATGTCACCATGCCCAACTAATTTTTGTATTTTTGGTAGAGATGGGGCTTCACCATGTTGGCCAGGATGGTCTCGAACTCCTGACCTCGTGATCTACCCACCTCGGCCTCCCAGAGTTCTGAGATTACAGGTGTGAGCCACCGCGCCTGGCAAAATAAAATAAATTTAAACATTAGCCCGGGGTCGTGGTATGTGCCCATAGTCCTAGCTTCTTGGGAGGCTTAGGTGAGGGGATCGCTTGAGTCCAGGAGTTCAAGGCTGCAGTGAACTATGATCACTCAACTGTACTCCGGCCTGGGTGACAGTGGAGACCCTGCCTCAAAACAAATAAAAACAAAACAAAACAAAATTTGACACGTCAACCTGAAAGGAAGCAAAGAGGTAGAAAGAACTTGGAAGGTTCTATGCCAGCCCTGCCATCTTGGACTCTGAGATACTACAACTCAGAGATTGCCTTGCCTCTTTCAAAGAAGCCCAAGACCTTTCTTTTTTTTAAATAGAGGATCTTGGCTGGGCCGGATGGCTCACGCCTGTAATCCCAACACTTTGGAGGATAAGGTGGGTGGATCACCTGAGGTCAGGAGTTCGAGACCAGGCTGGCCAACGTAGTGAAACCCCATCTCTACGGAAAAAATACAAAAATCAGCTGGGCGTGGTGGCGAGTGCCTGTAATTCTAGCTACTCAGGAGGCGGAGACAGGAGAATTGCTTGAACCGGGAGGCCACCGTGGCACTCCAGCCTGGGCAACAGAGTGAGACTCAGTCTCAAAAATAAAACAAAATAAGGGCCTTGGATAGGACAAGACTACAGAAACACCTGTTAACCTCTCCTATGCAGTCCTACTGTCTTCAGAAGGGGTTTATTGGTCCAAAAATCCAAGCCCCAAACCATGAAGTGAAAGTTTTGATTCTTAAATACAAGCTCTTCCCACCCTTCCAGACCCCAAAACTGCTGTCTCTACCCAACCATGATGTTGAGTCTAGACAAGTACTTACAGAAGGCCTTTCGGATAGTCTAAATTCACATCTTCACCATTTTGTTAAATTGTTTTTACAAATACAAAAATAATACATATTTGTTCCTGGTTTTTGGCACTAAAAAATTATAATAGTCATTGGGAAAATTCAAAGATTTAGAAGAATAAAGAAAAGCATATGTAGCATATTAGTGGGGAGAAAAAGAATGAAAAGCAAAACTATCTCTTCACCCTAATCTTACCCTACTTCCCCCAAAAGTAAACCTTGCAAAATATATCCTCTCAAACTTCTTTTCATACATTTATAAAATACATACACACAATTATCTTTCTTTTTTTTTTTTTCTGAGACGGAGTTTCACACTTGTTACCCAGGCTGGAGTGCAATGGCGCAATCTCGGCTCACCGTCACCTCCGCCTCCCAGGTTCAGGCAATTCTCCTGCCTCAGCCTCCTGAGTAGCTGGGATTACAGGCACGCGCCACCACGCCCAGCTAATTTTTTTTGTATTTTTAGCAGAGACAAGGTTGACCAGGATGGTCTAGATCTCTTGACCTCCTGATCCACCCGCCTCGGCCTCCCAAAGTGCTGGGATTACAGGCTTGAGCCACCGCGCCCGGCCAATTATCTTTCTTTTAATATAAATAGGATCATGGTATAATACTCTAAATATGCCTTTACACATATTATTCCATAGAAATATGTCCATATTAGCAAATTTGTTTCCAGTTTTCACTATGAAAAACAGTACTACAATATGTTTATATACTCATGTACATTTATGTAGAACAGATTCCTGGAAACAAAATTGCTGAATTAAAGAGTAACAAATTTGAAATTTAATAGATATTACCAAATCTACGTCGAAAAAGGCTTTTTAAAAATATGAGAATGGGCCGGGCGCGGTGGCTCAAGCCTGTAATCCCAGCACTTTGGGAGGCCGAGGCGGGTGGATCACGAGGTCAAGAGATCGAGACCATCCTGGTCAACAAGGTGAAACCCCGTCTCTACTAAAAATACAAAAAACATTAGCTGGGCATGGTGGCGCGTGCCTGTAATCCCAGCTACTCAGGAGGCTGAGGCAGGAGAATTGCCTGAACCCAGGAGACGGAGGTTGCGGTGAGCCGAGATCGCGCCATTGCATTCCAGCCCGGGTCACAAGAGCGAAACTCCGTCTCAAAAAAAAATAACAAAAAAAAAAAAAAAAAAAAAATATGAGAATGACTATTTGCTTAAACTTTCACCAAAAATGGACTTTATGTATATTTTTAGCCAATCTAATGAACAAAAACAATGGCACACATTATTGAGCTTGCATTTCTCTAATTACAAGTGCAGTTGAGTGTTATGCTTCCCGCCAGTTGTATTACTTAGTCAGTGAATTGTCTGTCCATTTCCATTGCTTATTTTTCTGCTTGCAGTGTCTTCACTTTCATCACAAAAGCAGCTACTATATAGTGAGCACTTGACTGTGCTGGTCCCTACACTATGTATTTTTAAATAAATAATTTCTTAAAACAACCCATTTTACAGGTAAGAAATGTGAGAACCATATAGCAACGAAACTCAAACTCTGGTCTACTTTACTCTAAAATCTGCAACATTCCCTGCTGTATCACTACACCAAAAAGCTTCATTTTACCTAAATGTGGTAGGACCAAAGAAAAGTGACTCACCCAGACACTCAGCCCTGTAGATGATGGTTTCAGTCGGCAAGACTGGTAGGCTTTTTACCACCCTCTTCTTCGCTTCCAGAAAACGTGGTTGAAAACTGCCAAAAAGTCTGTTCAGGCAAACTTGGCTGCCTATTATCTGTGTCCTTAGAGATAAAGAACCAGCCCTCAGTACAAGGGTCAAAGATAAAGAAAGTAGAAACAGTAAGAAACATGGAGACCTTGGCCCCATTCCATCCATATCACAGTCAAGGCAGCAGGCTAACAATGGCCTGACAAGTCTGCCAGGGTTTCCAGGCACCTCCCAAAACCCTCCTGCGAGGCTATAATTTAAACAAAAAAAACCTGAGGCACGGCAAACTCTTAATCACCGGCATGAGTAACAAAGTTTAAGGTCCGGCCTTTTATAAAATTCAAATAATTATTTTATAATCCTTTGATTAAGTAATCCAGATTGAAAGGTGTTCCTTACTCCAAGAATGTTAAGTAAAAAAAAATTAACTAATTAAAAAGAAATGAAAGGTGTTCCTAAGAATTTCACTTTTAGCCGGGCTTGGTGACTCAAGCTTGTAATTCCAGAACTTTGGGAAGCTGAGGTGGGTGGATCACTTGAGCCCAGGAGTTCAAGACCAGCCTGGGCAGTATGTCAAAACCCTTGCCTCTACCCAAAAAAATACAAAAATTAGCCAGGCATGGTGGCACACGCCTGTAGTCACAGCTACTCAGAAGGCTGAGGTGAGAGGATTACTTGAGTGTGGGGAGTCCAAGCTTCATTGAGCCATGATTGTGCCACTGCATTCCAGCCCGGGTGACAGAGTGAGACCCTATCTCAAAAAAAAGAATTTCTGGCCAGGTGTGGTGGCTCACGCCGGTAATCCCAGCCCTTTTGGAAGGCTGAAGCGGGTGGATCACCTGAGGTCAGTAGTTTGAGACCAGCCTAACCAACATGGTAAAACTGTCTCTACTAAAATACAAAATTAGCTTGGTGTGGTGTTGCATGCCTGTAATCCCATCTACTCAAGAAGCTGAGGCAGGAGAATCCCTTGAACCCAGGAGGCAGAGGTTGCAGTGAGCCAAGATTGTACCACTGCACTCCAGCCTGGGCGACAAGAGCGAAACTCCGCTTCAAAAAAAAAGAAAGAATTTCACTTTTGGTTTTTCTCAAATGTGATTAACCTAATGTGAAGTACAGGAAATGTACTTTTTCTGATTTATGGTTCATATTGATCATAATCTTCCCAAGAAAGAAAGATGGAGTAAAGTATGTCTAAGAAACTACCAAACTCCCCTCTTTTCTCCTCAAAACATTAAGCACCTATGTGATGGGTTATTAATAGTCTGAAGCTCGGAGATCAATATATGGAGTCACATTAAACTACTCTTTCTACCTTCATATAATTAAAATTTTTCACCAGTTTTTCACCAGCACAGTGGCTCAAGCCTAGCCTGTAATCTCAACACTTTGGGCAGGAGAATTGCTGGAGTCCAGCAGTTCAAGACCAGACTGGGCAACATAGTGAGACCCTGTCTTTAAAAAAAAAAAAATGCAATAAAAAGTCACCCCCAAAAAAGTGCCGGGCCCTGGGCTAGGCACTGGGGTAGAACACAATGAGTAAAAAACAGTTCCTATTCTTTTGAGGAGCATAATCCCATTCGTTATCATGGCAACAGCTTACAAAGCACTTTCTCAAGTGTATTAACTGATCATCCTGTAAATACATATTACAATCCCACGTTGATGTGGAAGCCTCCTACTTTTTACTATGCCTTTTCTTCCTGGTCTTTCATGTTTTCTGTGATTAATCTAGGGAGGGTCAGATCCCTGTCAGCTGGGGGTGGGAGGGGTGGAGTGAGACCAGGATGAAAAGACCTTTATCCTGTGGGTGGAGGCCTAAATGGGGTTAGTTTCAGGATATTTCAGACAAAATCATCAGAATCTTAAATGCCGTAGGCAAGCTTTTAAACACTTAGAGTAAGCCTTTCACTTACAGATTCTTCCTTTGAATTCAGGGTGATTTCTTTATTTTTAGACAGTTAAACTGGGTCACAGAAAAAGAGCTCCTTCCCCAGAATTACATAGTAAAATGGCATAAAATGTTATTCCCTTCAACTCCCAGAATCTCATTCTGTGAAGTTCAACCATGAAAAGCAGCTTACAGCTAAATTTTGTTTCAAATCGGTTTGATCATCTACTCTTCAGAGTGACCGACCCAGGGAGCCCGTTCACCTCTGCAATGCTGTCTCCCTCAGCTTTCATAGCCCACAGAATCTGTTCTGCTTCAGTTCTCTCTTAGAAGCCTCTACTAATTTTTCCCCATGTGGTTGTAAAGTCCTATTCATACGTGCAATGTCCACTTCTTCTTTACAAGTCGGCCCTGAAAAACTTCAGAGTTCAACCACATGAAATACACCCTCTTGGTTCTTTGTTTTCTAATTCTTAAGTGTGTAAAAAGCAGCATGAAGTTTATGGGCAAAAATTAGGCTGATTGTCAGAAACAAGCACTTGTCTATTATCCCCACTTCATCCACAATTACTTCATCTTCCCAGCCTTGTTTCCCTGTTTATATACAGCCTAGAATCTGGTGCTTCCTCCCTCCTTGCCAGGAATTTGATACAGATCTTGATGTAAAAGCAGGGCCAAAAATAAAAAATAAAAAGCAGGGCCAAGGGCTCTCCAAGTTCTTTCAGAAACACGGTAAACAATTGTTTGCTTGTCAAAGGACTTACATGGGCCACTACAGTGTAGACAATACAAATTCCCAGAATGGAGGTAAGCAAAATAGAAGACCATGGACAGAGGAAAGATGGCTGGAAGGAAGCCCCAGTTTTCCTCGCCACACCTAAAACTTTGTGGGGGAGGTATAGAGGCAGTCAGCCTGACTCACAGCCTGTGCTTCTGCTCCCCGGCCAAAGAGGGTTCAGAAGTGAAGAGCTGCTAGATTCCAAGGTCCCAGGCTGACAAAAGTAATGGGATGTATTCATCCGAGAACGGGCAGGCTTTCCTTCCAGCTCCGGCTCATCAGGGTTTAAGTCAACTTCATCACATTCGTGTTCTCATTGCTAAGAATCCTAGGAGCTGACAGTGGGTTGGGGACAAGAACCAGGCTAGAAGACACCCTTAGAGCCCCAGGTAGAAGAACTGGCTCAAGATGCAGGCATCTGAGAAGAGGAAACAGATTTCCAAGAGTGGCTCCAAGCATTTCTGTAAGCACCACCTGTCACGAGGAAAAAAAACCCATTAGCCCTAAAACTAGCCCTCTCCACTTCCCAGCCTCTGAGAACACCAATGAAACATGGGCTGAAAGCATTACCTCATCAGGGTGAGCCCCCATTGGCTGCAAAGACTCTGGGCCAGCCTTGCTTGCTAGTAAATTAACCCTTTTCAGGAACATAGAACTCCACGTGGGGCCCCTTCCCTCCCCCACTGCTCCATGTTTTCAAATTAGGAAAAGGGATAGATGGGGAACAATAGACCTTTCCCTAACATTTTTCTTAGGCATAGGGAGCTATACAATGGTTATGAGGAAGTTTGTATCCCCTCTCTTGAAAAAGTGCTCAGTGCCTTTTGAACCAAAATGGAGCCACCTGCAACAGATTGATAAATATGGGTTAGGTAGGAAGGGGCAGAGTGAATTATCAGTCGTTTTCTAAACCAACCATGGAATTGTCAGAGGGGCAAAGACCAAAAAGGGTAATAAAAATTAAAAACACCTTGGGAAAGGTTGGTAATAAATTGATCTTGGTTTCTGCAATTTTTCTTTTTTTTTTAAATACAGAGTTTCCCTCATGTTGCCCAGGCTGGAGTGCAATGGTACAATCTCTGCTCACCGCAACCTCCGCCTCCCAGGTTCAAGCAATTCTTCTGCCTCAGCCTCCTGAGTAGCTGAGAATACAGGCATGCGCCACCATGCCCGGCTAAGTTTTTGTATTTTTAGTGGAAATGAAGTTTCTCCATGCTGGTCAGGCTGGTCTCCAACTCCTGACCTTAGGTGATCCGCCCACCTCAGCCTCCTAAAGTGCTGAGATTACATGTGTGAACCATGGCGCCTCTGCAACTTATTTTTTAAGATTATCATCATAGCTACAGCCTCTATTTTCAATGCAAATTGCCGAAGATATGCTAATTTAAAAAAAAAAAAAAAGGCAGGCCTGACACCAAGGCTCATGCCTATAATCCCAACACTTTGGAAGGCCAAGGCGGGTGGATCACGAGGTCAGGAGTTCGAGACCAGCCTGACCAACATGGTAAAGCCCTGTTTCTACTAAAAATACAAAAATTAGCCGGGTGTGGTGGCGTGCACCTGTAATCGCAGCTACTCGGAAGGCTGAGGCTGGAGAATGGCTTGAGCCCAGGAGGCAGAGGTTGCAGTGAGCTAATATTGCACCGTTGCACTCCAGCCTGAGCAACAGAGATATATTCCCAGCATCTAACCTGGTTCCTGGTACTCAAAATACATATTTTTTGGCTGGGCACAGTGGCTGATGCCTGTAATCCGAGCACTCTGGGAGGCTGGGGTGGGTGGATCACTTGAGGCCAGGTGTTCAAGATCAGCATGGCCAACATGGTGAAACCCCATCTCTACTAAAATACAAAAATTAGCTGGGTATGATGGCAGGCACCTGTAATCTCAGCTACTTGGGAGGCTGAGGCAGGAGAAGCACTTGAACCTGGGAGGCAGAGGTTGCAGTGAGCCAAGACCATGCCATTGCACTCCAGCCTGGGCAACAAGAGCAAAACTCCATCTCAAAATAATAATAATAATAATATCATTGTCTTTTTATTTTCGGCCAGGCGCAGTGGCTCACGCCTGTAATCCCAGCACTTTGGGAGACCGAGGTGGGCAAATCACGAGGTCAAGAGATCAAGACCATCCTGGCCAACATGGCGAAACCCCGTCTCTACTAAAAATACAAAAATTAGCTGGATGTAGTGGCGCACCTGTAGTCCCAGCTACTCGGGAGGCTGAGGCAGGAGAATTGCTTGACCCCAGGAGGCAGAGGTTGCAGTGAACCAAGATTGCACCACTGCACTCCAGCCTGGCACCTGGCAACACAGCAAGACTCTGTCTAAAAAGTAAATAAATAAAAAATAAAAGTTAAAATGAAAGATTTTGCATCTATTGAGTTGTAGACTAAAAGACCTCTGGTTAAACTTGCCCTAGAGAAAAGACAAAGATACTGATGCTTAGGATTCCCCAGTGAACTAGCTAGGAGCTTATCTTAACCCTCTGGAGTGAAGCACACTATTCAACAAGCCATATCCAGATACAAAGAGCTTTTTAGTTCCTCATTATTAAGCATGAATGAACAGCCAAGCTTCACTAGGCTTTTGAGAAAAGGCTCTGACATTATAGATAAAAAGGAATTTAGAAGAAGAAATAAAATAGGAGACAAAAGTTTTAAAAATCGTATCCTGCCAGGTGCAGTGGCTCAAGCCTGTAATCCCAGCACTTCGGGAGGCCGAGGTGGGTGGATCACGAGGTCAAGAGATCGAGACCATCCTGGTCAACATGGTGAAACCCCGTCTCTACTAAAAATACAAAAAATTAGCTGGG